AAGGAGAACGATGAAGAAAGGAGGTTTGATTTAATTTGATAATCATTTTCATGAATATTTTTCCCAATAAAAGACTACTAAAAGGCTTAAATAAAACTAAAGTGTAGTCCAATACCGTTCGGAGCCCAAGTGAGCCCATTCCTCGCAGTTAATTTCCAATGATCTCTCTCAATAGTGTTGTGTGTACCTTAATGTCCATTGCTAATTTTCACATTCGGAAAACTGTCATTTTAATACCGAACTATCCGTTTTTAGTCAAAATAACTACCAATTTTTTAATAAGTCAAAAAAATATCAAATTTTGGTTGACTCGGCCAAATTAGGTATAGAATTAGTGAACTTTAATAACCGTTAAAAAACTGTTTACTTTATCCGTTAAGTTTCAAAATGGCGTCGTTTTGATTTAGAAAAAAAAAATTCATAAGGTCATTTTAGGTCCGGAGAATTGGAGAGACGAGATCCTCAAAAACTTGATCGGCTTCGCACTTAGAGCAGACAACGACATCAATGCACCAAAAAGATTCGACCAGCATTTCAAGAAAGAGAAAACAAAGAACGAGCAGATGAAAAAGACTCATCGTCAAATCTCCAGCTAAGTAACATCATCACTCTGTTTGGGGTCGTTAGTTTCTTTTTACTTTACCGCTAAGTACTCATGGATCGTTAGACGTAATTCCGATGTTTTGGCAACGTCGGACGGGCCTAACAATTGAATTTTCTATTCTTTTTCCAAAAAAAGAAAAAGCAAGGGATAGCAGTTGCTTAGGATATCAGTCCTATGCAGCTCGGTCCTAAGGAGCAAGTTTGTCCTTCCAGGTCTCCGGATTCAGGTTACTGTTTCTAGGGATCTCGTGTTTTAACATGTCTCTGGACTCAGGCTATGGTCTTCAAGGATCTCGGCTCTACATGTCTCCACACCTTGGTCCTGTCTAAAGTTGACTAATTTTATACCTAATTTGGTTGAGTCAACATAAGTTTGTGTATTTTATGGCTCATGAAGAAGTTGGTACTTTTTTTGGCTCAAAATGGAAAGTTTGGTATTAAAATGACCTTATGAGGTTTTTTTCTAATTTTAAAACGACGTAGTTTTGAAACTTAAAGAATAAAGTAAACAGTTTTTTAACGGCTGTTAAAGTTGACTAATTCTATACCTAATTTGGCAGAGTCAACCAAAATTTGGTATTTTTTTTACTCATTAGAAAGTTGGTACTTATTTTGGCTCAAACGGATAGTTCGGTATTAAAATGACCGTTTCCCCTTTTCACATTCCAAGAAACCTGCCAATTTTGCAACCTTTTTCTTTGTAATCTCACCAACAAACTCCAGCCACACAGGTTATCACAAATCAATTCAGGTTCTGTACCAGAACCAAAAAACACTTGGCAACTTGCATTCACTATTTTCAGAACTCAACCAACCTTGTGAACTCACAATAACCAAACTCGTAGAGCTTGTCCAACTGGTAATCCACACATGATTAGTTGAAGATGGAACTACTCAGTCAATTTCAAAACGAAAAGAGTTTGGCTGAACCTGTGATCGAAATCCAGACCCATATAGTGGAGATAGACAAGGCTTAACACTGTTTGCACTCAATTGTTTTTATTTCGTATCACTTCCTTGTATACTATTATATTCTTTAAAATTTGACAAAATCAATTAGTGATGATTTGCGTTCGTTTGTATATTTGGATGGTGCATCCATATGTAA